TGTTTGAAGAAGGGTTTCTTTCTAAAAATTGTTTCTGAAATTTTGAAGACGTTTATCGAAATGCTTGGGATATTAGCACTTGACTAAACAAATAAATAAAAACTATGAACTCTGCTCTCCATGTGTTTATATTCTAAAGCAGGGACAGGGAGGAGCTAAAGGTCATCCTTTACCTATGCCATTATAGTACGGTTGGCTCTTCAGAGGGTGAGATGTGAAACCTAGTGAAACTTGGGCTTGGAGCTGACAAGGCTTCTTCTGCTCAGAATCATACAGGGTTGGAAATAGACCAGACCTGAGAAACCATCCTGCCAAAACTCTTCATTTTGCAGGCAAAGAAAGTGAGAGCAAAGGAGACTGTCTTGCCCAAGGCCTTCAAGCTAGATGGTGGCATAGCCTAGACTGCATAGTTTTAAGATAAAACAGTAAATGAAGCAATGCATTAAAACCTTTCTGCAGAGACCCTTGGTTAGAAACTTAGCCTTTAATTTAATTTAATTTAATTAATTAATTTATTTAGAGATGGAGTTTTGCTCTTGTCACCCCTCTGGAGTGCAGTGGTACAATCTCAGCTCTCTGCAACCTCTGCCTCCCAGGTTCAAGTGATTCTCCTGCCTCAGCCTCCAGAGTAGCTAGGATTACAGGTGCACACCGCTAAGCCTGCCACCACACCAGCTAATTTTGTATTTTTACTAGAGATGGGGTTTCATCATGTTGGCCGGGCTGGTCTTGAACTCCTGACCTCAGGTGATCCGCCTGCCTTGGCCTTCCAAAGTTCTGGGATTACAGGTATGAGCCACCTTGCCTGGCTGAAAGTTAGCCTTTTAAGTCATTAATAAGTGCTAGAGAATCAAGCAGAGAAAACAAATGAAGATCTGTGACAAAGTCAGGACCAAAAGAAAAAAAAAAATCCTCAGGCTGTGACTTTGAGGGTTTCTGGTTAGGTTGTTTGAATGTGGAAGGCTTTCCTTCACTTTCAGTCCTGACTTGATGGGCAGAGGTAGGTAGGGAAGGACAGACATTCCTCAATTCCATTTCTAAATGTTGCCTAGGGAACACACTGTCTAGACCACAAGCTTCTCTGCTTTCAGGAGCAGGAGAGGGTCTCCCAGTTCTTTTGAGCCTTCTCACTACCAGGGGGTGGGTTCCGGAATCAGTTTTCTAAGAAACCTAACCAACAGATCTGTGCAAAATAGATTATTCCTGTTCCTGTTCCATGTAATAGCAAGGCTCCCTCTTTGCTCAGGAAAGGAAAAGCCACAGGACTTTTCTTTCCATTGCCACCTTAATTAATTCATTAATGATTTTTCAGGCAAGTTTTATTCAGGCACTTTGGGACAGGGCAGTGAGTCAGAGGTTGGCATCAAAACCAGAATAGAAGCTGTACTTCTCTCTGGAGATTCTACTCTGGGCTTTAGATTCCCAGATCATACAACTTCCTAATTGGAAAGAAATGTTCTTTAACAAGAGCAGGGGCTTTGCTGGAGCCTGACAGTGACTAATAAGGTCGGTCTAAGGACTGTCTGATGAAAGAGAAGCTGGATTTACTTGTCACAGTGAATTTCTAAAAGTTTTTAACCCCGAGGTTTACTGCTGAATATAAATAAAAGACCCCTCCTTGGGCAATCCCATCCCAATTCCTGCAAATATGCCTTAGTTAATTAAATTAACTTTGAAATGACATTCCATGTCTTGTTCCCAAATGCCTTTGTTTTCTCCAAGATCTGCTTATTGACAAGCTGTTTCACAAGGTTCCTGCTTGAACTGGTTATATTTCATCCACAGGCTGCAGACAAATCGGAGACAGGTTGTTTTTGTTTGTTTGTTTTGTTGTTGTTGTTATTGTTTTTTCTGAGACGGAATCCCCCCTCTGTTGCCCAGGCTGGAGTGCAGTGGCGTGATATCGACGCACTGCAACCTCCGCCTGCCCGGGTTCAAGCGATTCTCCTGTCTCAGCCTCCTGAGTATCTGGGATCACAGGCGCCTGCCACGACGCCCGGCTAATTTTTTTTTTTTTTGTATTTTTAGTACAGACGGGGTTTCACCACGTTGGCCAGGCTGGGGAAGACAGGTTTTATCATCATCTCTACATTCGGCATGGCGTAGCCCTCACATTGTACTCATTTGTCTGTGAACCAAATGGCTCACAAACATACAATTAAAAATATATCTATCTAGGGTGTTTAGACAGTATCCCGATAAATACAACATGGTAATTTAAATATCCTTTGCTGAAATTCACACAACTAAAGGCTAATTCCTGAGTCGGCAATGTGGTGCGGGAGAGGATTTTAAAAACTAGTCTTTTAAAAAAATCAGTCCTTAGCTTTCTCAATTAAAGTGGCTCTCGGCTTAAATGCATTAAGTCCCAAGCTGTGGCTCCCCTCCAGGGAACAGCCGCGCAGGCGCAGACAAGCACACGTGGACACACACACACACACACACACACACACACACACACACACTCACACGCGCCCCCACACCCCTTTCCGTGTGAATCTCCAGCGATTTAGGGCCTCTCCACCAAGGATTACTGTCAGGTGCAGAAAGCAAGCCTCTTTGTTCCATGGGCATTTTCCTCCTCCCGGATTTGACTGTTATTTACGGGCCACGTGAGCGCCAAGCGCGGGTCCGGCGGGGGAGGCGACCCCAGCGCAGGGGAGACAAAAGCTGGCCCAGAGCACGACCCGTGAGGCCCGGGAACGACTCCCCAGCTCCTGTGACACGCGTGAAATTGGCCCAGACCTACCTCCTGAGAGGTTTTTTCCAGAAATGCCTTGCCAAAGCCTTTGTAAAGGAATCGGTGTTTCCTTGCACCGGGAGAGCTCCGGCCCTGGGCCTGGCAGGCGGCGATTTATGAGCTGCTGGAGTGCAACCCGGGAAAGCGAAATCAACCTTGGACTGTTGGGGCCCCATGGGCGCCTTGCTCCTTATCAAAAGCGAGTTATTAGACAGAGCCCCACAGTCACTTCAACAGAATGAGAAACTGGACTCAGCCCCCTTTTGCCCTCCCCACAGGGAGGCCGCGCGGTGCGCCTTTGACCACTGATCTCCCACCCGGAGTGCCCAGCGCGAGGTCCCGCCACCTGGCAGCCTCGGTCACTCAGTCCACAGTTGTGGTCCCTTCTAGGGCCTGGACTAGGGTGAGCACAAGCCTCGAGCACAAAATTGAATAAGGGCTCCGAAAAGTCAGTCATCAAAAGAAATATCTTGATGCAATGCCTCTTTAAAAAAAAAAAAAAAAAAGCAAAAACTCCATGATGAATAAAATACTAAATTTTAAAAAGAGAGAGGATCCGTGCAGTTCCATAGTGAGCTATTTTGGAGCCCGGAGCAAAAGAAAGATCACCTTGCCCAAGCGGTGCTCCTCACAGCCCATTCGAGCAGGGCCCGGGGGTCAGGGCATTTGGGGCGCAGTGGGGGGCTAGGCGGGTCGAAGGTCTCGGAAGTGGAGGCTCCGCCAAGCTCCGGTCTGGGAGTGCAGGGATGGCCCCCGGGACCGGAGGTGAGAGCACAGAAGAGCCTCTCCGCCCGGAACAAAGGCGTAGGGGGAGGGCGAGCTGGGGCTGGAGAGACCCGGTGGGTTCCGCGGCCCTTGTCGCCTAGGTCGGGCTTCCACGCGCGCCCTGGAATGGAATACGCTACTCCGCAGCCTCCGAGACTGCGAGCGAGTCATGTAACTTCCTTGCTCTGTGATTAATTCTCACTAACAAGACTTGGCAAGATGTCGGGCGAATGATTTTTGGCTTCTGCACGGTCCCCACCGTGTGCGTGCACAAACCCCCAGCCAAATGCCGCCCCTGGGAAATTAAATGCAAAAGAGAAATGGGGATGGGGAGGGCTGCCACGTGACCTGAAAAAAAGGGATGCCCGAAAACCTGAATCGGGTCCAGAGCTGCTGAAGTTCTTTTAAAAGGTCATTCTTCGCGGGTACATTTTCCAGGGCCCAGCTCCACACCAAATGTGGACCCTGTCATTTCCTGAAAGGATAATTCGCAACTATGCCAGATAGGGTGAAGACGTTCCCCAAACCCGAAAACCTTATTTTTCTCCCGACCAGGGTTAAATAAACATCTTTTAGGAGGCGCGGACAGGAGTGCAGCCTGTTCTCCTCCCTCGGAACACCATTCCGGCAATTAATGCCTCCCTACGGGTCGTAAAGCCACAAACCCCACACCTCACTCGGATCCTGGGCTTCGGGCGAAAGGACTTTCTCTTTCATCTTCCAAGCAGGGGGTTGCCCACGTTCCTGGGGAAGCTATAAAACGTATTTAATGGCTTTAGATGAAAATCGATCACGCTAATGCATACGCTAACGTCTCAGGAATCGCATTTTCAGAAAGGACTGGCCGGGCCGAAAGCGCACAGGGAGTCTGGAGCTAGGAGGTGCAGGCCCTGACCGGTGGGCAGCGGCGCTCCAGTCCTCACTCCTTGGGTACACTGGAGATACTGCGGGGCTGTCACGCGGGGAAGCGGAAAGGTGCAAAGGGCTGAAAGCTCAAACCCGAGCCCCGGCCTCCTCGGCTGGCTATTTCCCTTGGCGCCGCCAGCCGAGCGGCGGCACAGGTGCGGATGTCGGGCTGAAGGCGCAGCGGAGGCCCGGCCTGCCAGCAGACAGAGAAAGGCGCCGCGCGCTCCATTCACAAAGTCCCTGCGCTGCCTGCAGCTCGCGGCGGGTCTGAGGCCGCCTCCCTCTTCCTCTCGGTCTCGGTTTTATGAATGGGACTGACGGCGAGCACCCGGCGCCCTGTTTACTCCGCTCTTTGTGACGTCGAGTTCCCGTGACCGGGAGCCAGCGGCCGCGCTCCATTCAAGCTCCAGGGAGGGGGCGGGAGGAGGGGCCCGGAGGGAGCGGGGAGTCAGCTCAGGGGGCGGGGAAGGGTGCGGGGCCCGGAATGGAACGGGGCGGGGCCTGGCGGGGTAGTACCGAGCGCCCCCTCCCCCGGGAGCGCGGAGGAGCATTAATAAATCTCTAAGCCGAGGAGGAAACTGTGGCTGGGGCAGTGCGCGGAGCGCCGGGAAGCGTGGCGAGCGGCAGCGCCGGCGCCAGTGGCGACAGGAGCAGCGCGACCGGCAAAAATACACAAGAGGCCGGGGCCGAAGAGAGCCCGCGGTCCTCTCCCGTAAACACACTCCCTTCCAGCGCCGCCTCCCCCTCCGCGCCGCGCGCTGTCCGGCTGGGCTTCCGAGGCCGCTCTGACTGCTATGTGACTGCGAGGCTGCGGGAGAAAGGGGGCCGAGAGAAAAGACTCGCCCGCGGGAGCGCCTGGGGACCACGCTTGCGGCCACTTCTGCGGGCGTCCCCTCGTAGCCCGCGCCCGCCCCTTCCTGCAGCCTAGGCGGCCCAGGTGGTTTTCTCTTTCTCGAGCGCCCAGCCGCCTCGGTTCCCGGCGACCATGGTGACGATGGAGGAGCTGCGGGAGATGGACTGCAGTGTGCTCAAAAGGCTGATGAACCGGGACGAGAACGGCGGCGGCGCGGGCGGCAGTGGCAGCCACGGCGCCCTGGGGCTGCCGAGCGGTGGCAAGTGCCTGCTGCTGGACTGCAGACCGTTCCTGGCGCACAGCGCGGGCTACATCCGAGGCTCGGTCAATGTGCGCTGCAACACCATCGTGCGGCGGCGGGCTAAGGGCTCTGTGAGCCTGGAGCAAATCCTACCCGCCGAGGAGGAGGTGCGCGCCCGCCTGCGCTCCGGCCTCTACTCAGCGGTCATCGTCTACGACGAACGCAGCCCGCGCGCCGAGAGCCTCCGCGAGGACAGCACCGTGTCGCTGGTGGTGCAGGCTCTGCGCCGCAACGCCGAGCGCACCGACATCTGCCTGCTCAAAGGTAAACGCGGGCTCCGGGCGGGAGCTGGAGGGGAGATGGAGGAGATCTTGGCGGCCTGCGCCTTATTGGCACGGAAAGGAGTCCCCTGCGTGATTCGTGGTTGCAGGGATCCCCGCGCGCCCCTTTGTGCGTGTTGGTGTGTACGGGCTTGCAAGGTTTCTATGCAAGTGCGAGCTTCAAGTCCTCAGGGACAGTGCGGGCGGGTTCCCCCAGTCACCTGCAATTCCGCTGTGTCCTAGCGAAGCCCGGTTTATTGACACTAAAGGTCCTGGCCTCGAGGGTGAAGCGACTCTACTGCGCCGCCCATCTCGAGTCCCGGGAAGTGTTCTCAAGTACCACGGGGCGCGTGGGGACAAGATAGGCCTATCGGTTTGGCATGCCGGGGCCCTGCACTAAGCCAGACCCGGAAAATCCGAGAGGTAGGAAAAAGGGTGAAGGCGGGTGGGCGCCGAGGTACAATCAGCCCTGCCAGTTTCACTGAAAACAAGACCCTGGCAAATGCAGAAAGGGAGATTGGGTTGCACACACTGTGTAGAGTGATCTGTATCTGCTTTCCCGCTGCCCAACTCCGAGCTCCGCCTGGAAGGTGGCCAATCTCCGTCCGGGGCTAGATCCAGGCTCTGGGAGCGGGAGGCTGCAGGACTGTATATCTGGGGGACGCCGGGCGGAATCGGTCCTCTAGCTCCTGCAAATCTGGGCAGCGCAGAATGATCACCTTTTGTTCAGCCCGGATTTGCGACTATCTGATGGCGGCGCGTGCCGGATTTAAGCGAGCCCTGGCGAAACTTGGCGACCTGGCTGTCTTGTCACATTTGGTAGTCGGATATCCCGAAAAAATCGCGTGCTGTCCGAGTTCCTGGAGGGACTGGGCGCCCGCCGCACCTGCAGGGCCAGGTGTGTCCGCGGCTGTCGGGCTGGGGAGCGGGCAGGGCGCGTGGGGTCCGGGCCCCCCCTGCCGCGCTGCGCCCCCGCCTCCCGCCGCTGCATTCCGAGCATTCTTTCGCGTGGGTCGGGTCTGGGATTCCGAGCCCGGGAGGCGGTTCAGACTCCCCCCTCCATCAAAGAGCCGCACCTCCCCCCGCAGGCGCCCCCGCCCCCTCCCTCCTTTCCTTTCCTTTGCTTTCCGCTCCTCTCCGGACCTGTACACTGGGGAGGAAGGGAGCTGGAGGGGGGGCGGAAATCTCTCCCCTCCAAAGAGCACAACAAAACTGCTCAGTACTGAAGAGTCGGGTTCGCCCCTGCCGAACAGCGGGGGGCTTTGTTCTCCGCAGTTGTTTCCTGCCCATTTGACCTGTCAGCTGCTGGGGAAACGCTGCTGTTGACCTTTGGTTGAACTGCTAAGGCGATTTTGCTGATTTTTCTTTCTTTTTCCGCGAGAGCCGTCTTTTGCCCCTCCATTTGAGCCCAGTCCCCCTCCCTTCTCCCCAAAGCGCTCCAGGAGAAAGTGCCAGGAAGGGGCTTGTCCCGGAAAGCCTGGCCGCTGAGCGGGGCCAGGTCCTGCTTAGGCCACCAGGGTGGGCGTCCGCGCCATTGTTTGAGCTTGTCGGCGCTGGTGGCAGAGATGAGGGCAATTCCTCTGGGACCCAAGTCCTCTCGAGTGACCGGGGCTGGCCGGGATATTCCCCGAACGACTTTGCCTTCGACTCCCCCGATAGAGAGCGCCGGTACACCTTCCTTCGCTGGCCTCTGAGCCCGGGACACGCGAGAACACTGCAGGGCTGGGGCTAGGCTCCAGCCCCACGTGGAGTCTGGGTTTGTTTTGTTGTGTTTTGCTTTCCTTCCTGGAAGAAATCCGCAGGGGACCGCCCTAGAGCGGCAGCTCCGGGACCTCTGCCCTTGGGCTTCCGGGGGTGCAGCCACTTAGGCCCCGCTCCTGGGGAGAGAGGGATTAGTTTTTCAGATTTATGCCCAGGGCGCGCGGCATCTCCCTGTCCCTCGTGAATCCCGTTGAGTGTCCCCTCCCCAACCTCCTCCATTTCACCCAGCCAGCCTTATTCGAGAGTCCTGGAGATTCTGGGCGAGGCTAGTGACTGGGAAGGACAGGCCTCTTGGTAAAATGACAGCCGCTGTGGGTGGCGAGGTGCCTGGCCTTCGGAAGAGAAGTATTTTAAGGGCTGTTTCCTCCTGGAGCCTGCACTGCCTCTTGTCTTCTGCCCCGATGCGGGCAGGAAGGATCATCTTCTGCATCTCGAAGTGGACATCCTTGCAGAGGGAGGTGTGCAGGCCCAGGCCGCAGATTTAGCTTCAGTCTCTTCTGGAATAGTCCTTCCTCCCCTGCCCCCTGTAGCCAGAAATTCAGCTTCTGCTTCACAAGCAAAGGGACCCTGCCCTTGGAAGCAGGCACCTAAAATTGAGAGGTGAGGGAATCTTCCAGCTTGCTCTGTAGTGGTGCTGAACATCCTTGAGGTTAACTGGGCCCTATTCGGTTTAGCTTAGCTGATCTTGACATATGTGTTAAGCAGAGGCCATCTTTAACCCAGTTTCTCTTCCTCCTCTTTGCCCTCTAATGGAAAGGCATCCCTAGAGAGGGCACAAGGAAAAAGTCAGTATCTGCTCCCACAGCCCGGCAGGAAGGGACTGGGGAAGGAAATCAAGGTGTCTCCCAGGCCTCCAGATACACCTCCCTTCCTAGCCTGGAAGCCAGTGCAGTGGAGCAAATGTGGTTTCCTGGGAGGGGGCTCTGGGGCAGAGACCTAAAGGGAAATTTTGAGAAGCAAAGGAAGAAAAAGCCCTTTTGATTGTCACTGGTAAATGCTTGAATCGTTGAGAGCTGGTTTCCTACTGGAGCTGTTCATTTTATTTTCTAGCGAGGGAATTAACGTGTGTCTCATTTCATGTGTGCCTGTGCGTGTCTGTAAAAGTGGGCAGGTCAGGAAGCCCATGGAAGGCCTGCTGGTTGGTGTCTGCCGTTCTTGGAGGGGTTTGAGGAAGCAGTAAAAACAAGATAATATTTTCAGAAGTGGTAGCAGCCTTCCCAGCCAAAGCTATCTAACTCTCCTAATTAATTGCATTTTAAAATTCACTTTTTCTATTTCTGCCACATTGAAGGGTTCCTTCTACCATGCTGAACTGGCTACTCTGTGCAGGTGAGGGAGGTAAACTTTGCTGAGTATCAAGAAAGTACTGCCTAGCTTTTACATTTCCTAAGATTACCCGAGTTTTGCTAAAAGCGATAACGAAAATCCCAGTGTTTTTGTCTTTGCTAGTAAAGGATTTCCAGTGGGGTAGTTTTTTTTTAAAGCTCATTTAATTTAAATCCTATAAGGTATTTTTAGGGTCAGTTTGGAAATTTTAGTTTTTTGGGTTGTATCACAATACAATTCTTGAAATCCCTTTCTCTCTCATTTGCAAATCCTTGGATTAGAGTTTGAGACTCCCCTGGTCATTAGAGAAAGACAAAAAGAGCTTTTTCTTACTCTATTCTTTGCCTTTAATATCCCCAAATAACAAAATAGTCTGTTATGCAAAAAGATTTCAGGCATAAAAACATTACCTTCCTTTCCACTTACCTAAAATTTCCCTCAGCCTTAGATAGTTCTTATTGAAAAGCTGTCCTGGAACTGTTCGAGAAATGGGGAAGATCATCTAGATATTACAGTTTCTCCTTCCGCTCACCCTGTAGCACCAGATAGCATCCACTAGCCCAGGGCCTGACCCTATAGCCTCCGATGTTACCCTTTCTGTAGAAAACAGTCACTAAGGCCAATGATGAATGTGGGGGAAGAAAGGCACAGTTCACAGCTCTGGCAACTCTGGTGACCGTTTTGTTTTTTTTCTTACTGGCCTCACCACTGCCATTTCTGTCTTCAGTTCTCTAGGAGGGCAATGGCATCAAACAGCACAGCTCTGGAGGATGTCAATGTTGCATACCTTTTCTACCTAAAGGGAAAATGACTAGCTTTTCTGATTGCAAATAGAATATCCTTCTGCTTGCAAATACCGTAGCTTTTCTGCTTGCAAATGTTATACAATGTCCATGACAGCCAAGGATTGGGAGTGTAAGTGCTAGGCCTTACAGGTAATTTTTAACCCCATTGTAATTTGTTAAATAACTACAATGAAGCAAACTCACTACTTTAGGCATCCTTTACATTGGATGTCTCCAACTAACAAAAGTAAAGACAGATGTAGGTGTAAATTGAGAGCGAAACTTGACCCTTCAGATTATCACAGCTTCCTTTGGCTTATTATCCTGGGTGCTTCTAGGAGAGGTGGACTGCACCCACAAAAATGGGCTGCTCAGAAAAACGAGGGAAAGAGGAAGGATGGCCACTATACGGAGCCAAGAAATTCCTTTTAAAAAAAATCAGAGCATCTGAAACCCGATAGCCTTTCCTTACCGCGAGGCAGTTCGTGGCAAACAAAGAGGATGCATGATGGGAAGAAAAGTTCACTCCAACGGAAGTCAGTTTGCTGAACGTAGCAGATCGCCCAGGAAGACTGGGAGAGACTGCAAACAAGTTCGAGTCCTCAGCATGGCATTAGGTGTCAACTGGCAGGAAAGTCCAGGTGTTTCTGTGTTCAGAGTCCCAAGGTGAGAAGTTCGCTTACTTAGATTTTAAATACACGTCAGCATTTGCATAGGGGCTTACTGAGTCAGCACTCACATAGAGTTCCTAAAGGCTTTCTTGCAGGAGCATGACTTTCTGACAAGAGCAAGGCCATGAGCCCTGCCTAGTATCAGGTGCTGTTCTGAGTGCTGGGGGCATAATGGGGAAAAAGTGGCAGCCACGTTAAGATCCATGACCAAGACCGGGCCTGGTGGCTCATGCCTGCAATCCTAGAGTGGCATCTTGTGTGACAACCAGCCACAGACCCCAAAAAGCTGGCGACTGCTGTCAGGGACAAGAACCTTCCAGTGCTCCTGCCCCTTGAGCAAATTTGCTTCTTCACCTTGTTCCTTCTTGCTTGTTCTTTAAAACTCCACTAGAGGGAACTGACTTTTCCATAATCATTTTTCTGCTGCAGAGAGACAGAGGCATGCAGATCACTTGAGGCCA